GCGTGGCTGCCAGCCCCCGCAAGGGTGGTGGGGGCGGGACGGGGGCGCTAGCGCGGCTCCTCAAGGGGAGTCTGATTTCTTAGCCGCGCCCCACTCAAGCGATTAACAAGCCCAAGGTCCAATGAGAATCCGGCTACAGGGCTGGCTTCTCCCGGCACACGGCCCAGGCTGGGTTTAAACCCGTCACAGCCCTAGTCCGGGGGAGCCAGCAGCCTGCCGGGGAGACCCTTGGGTCCCGCGAGGGGTGTTTGTGAGCCCCGTCCGGTGGCCCTGCAGCCCTGCCCAAGGCCGGCTGGTTGCCTTCGGTTTCGTGCCATGCTCGTTGGTGGAGCTGGCTGGGGAAGGCAGAGAAACCCGCCCGGACGTGCCCGGGGAGCGGACAGAACCCAGGGGAACGGCCCCGGCCAGGGTGGGCTCCCGCCTAGGAGGAGACATTTCGAACTCCCCACCCACGCACGTGCGGGCCCAGGCCTGGTGGGGAGCTGCCCGTGGCTGAGACACGCGCAGAGGGGCGCTCTGGAGGGAAAACAAACGCTCGGGGAGCCCGGAGCACAAGGCCCCCTTCCTCCCCACGGTCGCCCTCCGCGCCGTGGCTGTGACGGGTCGTTCTGGGCTACTGCCCAGGTGTGGCCGGCAGCAGCCGGACGTGGGCCTCGAGCCCTGGCTCTCTGGGAGATGAGCTGCGAACAAGCAAAGCCCAGTTCACCTTGGCACAGAGTTCTGGACGTGCCCTCGCCCACAGCCGCCGGTCGCAGGGATGGGAGCAGGCATCTGGTTAAGCAGTGACCCGGTAGCATGACCCTTGCCTAGCGATGCTCACCGGGTAACGGTTAACTGGTACCCGCTGCGGGGGTGGGGGCCAGCGGCAGCTGGGTTTAAGCGGTTAACTGAGTTTGCAGCGCTAGCCAGCAGCAAGCCAGGGGCTCCCCCGGGGACAGAGGGGATGCCCCGCGCAGGAGCAGCAGCTGGCGTGTTGCCGGTGCTGAAGGGCTCCCCATTTCCTCCCCGTGGCTGGTCTGACCGCACCGGTCCCCGGTATAGCAAGGGGGTTAAAGGCTCAGCAGGGGCTGTTGGCTGCTCCCAGGGGGGGGGTGGCGCCGC